GCATTACTTTTACCATGTTTGGTAGAAATTTTGTTTTAGGTGGAAAAGTAAACATAACTTGTACCATGTTTGGTTAGTAGAATTCTAAATATTGTATAAAAGTTATTCATGTATTAATTTTATACGGTGTTTGGTTGTGTTTTTTGTAGTCCTACATAATTAATACCAACATAACTAATGAGGGAATATATGTATAAGTTATGCAGGGTAGAAGGTAGAATAAGTTATGCAGGTATTAGTTATACATGTATTAAAATAATAAATTACACATTTACCCTTATTGATTTATTTTTAATTATTTTCATTGAAAATGTTATCCAACTATGCTATTTTCCTAACTTTTTTTTAATACACGAACAACTTTTTTTTTCTGTTTTCATTTGAAATCCAAATGTAATATTTTATTAATATTACAAATTGAATTGTATATAGCGTTATATATTAATAAATATATTCCACTTCTTTAATTAACATGTAATATTTATTTTATTAGGATGTGAATTTATACATAATTCATTTATTTGGTATATTAAAACTGTATAAACAATATATACAACATATTGATAGAATATTTACATTATATAAAATAGGATATTATAATTTACTTGAAATATATTAATCATATTTTATTTTTATAAGTTATAAACATAAAAAAATAACAAAATGAAAAAATAGCATTCCCAATTAAATATAGAGGGAGAATTTTTTTTCTTTACTTTTATTCAAAAAGAGGGAGAATTTATACTATTTGCTTACTTATTTATTTGTAAGTAATATATATTAATTTACAACAAATTCAAATATTTATTAGTTAATATTTATGCATTGTGATCTCTACATAATTAAATAATATATGCATAACTAATACTTGCATAATTAAACCCTGCACAACTAAATCCTACATAACTAATACCTGCATAACTAATACCTACATAACTAATACCTGCATAACTAATACATGCATAACTAAACCCTACATAACTAATACCTGCATAACTCTAACCAGTAACCAAATGGCCCCAAAGTACTTAACATAGGTTGATTATTCTGATATAAATCCCATGATTCGAGTTCTATACCTCTGTAGGAAATCTCGTACCAAGAACACTACTACTTACCGCTACATTTAGCTAACCTTAAGCTCATATCACAAAACACCTAATGTATCACACATTATCCACATGTTAACAACACCATATTCAAGCTTAGAACCTTAACCACTGCATAGAATTCTACTAACCCACTTTCTAAGAACTTCTCATCCTCTCATCATCTCTACCAACTTAACTTTCATGCATTACCACCAGAAAGTTGGCATAGTACTCATTGCGAAGCCTTATATCCTTCTTCCTCCATATTCATACTCTTAAATGGAATAAACACGCCATCACTATCACAATAGCAATAGTAATCCTCTCTTCTATCATCAAACAACTACTACCAACAAAACCACTCTCCAAAACTAAAAAGGATTACTAAAAGGGCTTTAGGGCGAAAGATCAGAAGCATGATTCATTCGAGAATTCTGATATAAGAATATTCATGGCATAACATTATGTTGCTAGCCATTGAGAGTAAATAATGAACTTGTGAGACTGAACATACTATGAGACATGAATACTTATATTAATAGGTTCATATCATGAGGCTGATATCCACAACGTTATGGATTAAGCTCGAGGTTAATGGGTTAAAGTCTTTTCCCTCATTCTGGAAACTGAGCATAGATGTGAATCTCTCTATAGTGTATGAGCATAGATCATAGACACAATTATGATATTAGGAAACATTACCATGATGTTGAAATAGCTTCGCTTGAGGAATATGCAAAATTATGAACAGATTGATATATCTCTAAAATTCTTTCTGAAGACATCACTATCTCATCGTCCACAATTGAATTGATTTCTAATCTTATCATCTCCCCCTTAGGTTTGGAGTTTACACTCTAAAGCCATGGATCTATTATGATCATCTCTAAACTGATCTACATTCCATTTACTCTAATACTCGGGAAAGGCTCATTCCATGGCTACTGAACTCTCCATAAGCAGGTACTAAGACTCCTTCTAAGACCACTTTTTAAGATGCTTCTATTAACCTCTTCTCATTGGCTTATAAGACTGCTTCATCTAACTCTTAAGGAAAAATAATACTTGCATCAACTTATTCCACATTGACAACTCAAATATACTATCTTGGCACACATGAAAAATCATTAACTTAATTGGAACCTAGTCTGATTACATACAATCTTAGGTACACTTCTTAATGCTCGTGTTACTCTTATGACTTAGCCACACTTCACTGTCCTTATCTAAAAGTTAAGATCTCTCACTTGTACCACTCATATTTATTGCAGTAAAGATCTTAATTCCCCACCTATTCTATGTTAAGTCCACTAGATAAAATCTCAAGACTAACATCATCACCCTCATATTTCCATTCTTTTGATCACGACACTCATCTCAAATTCAATCTTAATGTTTATTACTAAACCTGGATATCAATATGATTACTCGCTTACTATACAAACTTAGAAGTACTAGATAAAATTAAGAAACACTCACCTACTAAGACCTCATGAAAAGTAGTAAAGTTTTATCTCACAACCTATTTATTTACAGACTACCGTCACATTCCTTTTTACAACATAAGTAATATTTACCCAATCGCTATACATCATTTCCTAATAAAATTTTGTAACCCTCTAAATATTATGTGCTCTTCCTCAAAATCATAAGTTTGACATAGATCTATCACCTCATTAATACTCTTGCTCTTCTATTTAACACATATACTTGGTCGTTACTAAAACAATGACTCATCATCATAAATTCTTTTCTAGACGAAGTATTCTCTAACTCATCCTAACTTGCAAATCTTACTCTACCTCCTATCATGAAGTCTTCACAAACTTATCACTCCTTAGTCTACCCATAAGAGAAAACCCATCATTAATAACTTACTATATAGAAACATAGCTTGCCAAAATACCATTTCACTTTCTTAGATTACTGAACCTCTGCATACTGCACCTTTGCATACTTTCCTCAAACTCTAGGCACTTTCACTACTACTGCTCATAATCTTGTAACTCATGCTACCATTTCAAGTGAGAATATTACCCAAGCTCTAAAACACACTTCCTCATAAGGATCTAGATTGGAAAAAGGTACAGAGAAGAGAGTACATCTCACTTTTAGCTTAAACGCATGATTAATATGAACATGAGTGCATTCCTTCGAAACTTAACACTTAACTGACTCATTAGCTTCTCTTAAGCTCCTCTGGAGTCTCATGACTTCCTCAAGACTTAGGCTAAGAATAACTCATCCATAATGATATTGGGATTTACTTTTGAACAACCTTTAGTATGAGGGGTAGTCGAATGGATATGAGGAAAGCACGAGTTTGAATGAACTCTTTATGGCATAGTTCTACTGCTCGATTTAGAGTATGAAAGAATGGAAACTTTTCCTAAATGTCTATAGTCCCTCATTTATAGAAGTGGCGCCCTCACAACTATAAATAAGATCATAATGGCACGGCTTCATAGACACCCAGGACCCTTAAAGTTTGGGCTCTGATAACAAGTTTGTCACGACCTGAGCCTACAACCTGGACGTGGCTAACTCTCAAGAATCAAATTGAAAGAAACATTTTTCTTTTAAAAAGGTTTACTGAATCTCAAAACTTTGTTGAATATACTGAGTAGGAAACATAAGTTTTAAATAAAGCATATGAAACTGAAAGACCCTCCAAAATTGTCTATCTATGAAGCCTCTACTGTATAAATATGATTATTGGGATGAGACCCACGACTCCTCAAAAACTATTACTAATAACTCACAAAACAGGAGTCCTTCAGAAGCAAGGAGGTCTTACTCTAAAGCTGACGAGCGGATGAAGTGATCTCAACAAACTGTTGTTGAGGATCCTAATAACTTGTGTCTGCATTACTAAACGATGCAGGTCGAAAGACATCAGTACATTGAATGTACGAATATGTAATAGAGTTGAATAACAAATAAGTGAAAGAAATGACTGCAATAGATAACAATGTGCTCAAGCTGAATGTAAAGAAATAAAGGCGTTAAATCATTTAAAACTTTACAACATATTTCCTCATCTCAGAACTCAACATAATAAATGATATATAAAAATACATTTTAACTTTATTGAGAGATTCTCTAAGCGACAACCATCACAATGAGCTACATAATGATACAACATCTCCCCATTGCTGCCAGAACTGTCATATACCTTACCGGGATATAAGACACATCAACTAAGTGGATCCACTAAGCTATGCTTAAAAAGAAATAAGCAATCATCTTAAAAGTATGATCTCTTATCCATGTTAGCATAAATGGTTTATGGGGGCTGTAACACTACAAGAAAAACAGCCTCTAAGGAAGGGAAATCTTGTCCCTAAATGTCCAAATCTGGTCCCAAATGATCTATTGCGAAGGAAAAAGGCTGGTCGCCACCCGTCCTAATAGCTTCCTTCGCTAAAGGTTAACTACGACGGGTTTCATTAGCTGGTCGTTATATGTATTTTGGGACGAGAGAAAATGTTGGTCGTTACATGCTTTTAAAGACGACATTTCTGGTCTCAAATAGACGATTTATTTTAATTAAAATTTTTACTTTCTAGTCGTTAATAAGATTTATTTTAATTAAATTTTTTACTTTCTAGTCGTTAATAGTCTTTAGCAACTAGCATCAACCTGGTCCTTGTACTCTTTAGCGACGAAAACAGTGTGGTCTTAGATATCATTTAGAGACTAGTAATGTTTCTGGTCTTATATATCCTTAAGAGAGGAACATTTCTAGTCTTTGATTGACCATTAGAGACGAACAATAATTCTAATCTCTAATTAACCACCATTGGTTCTAGAAGCTCGATATCACAAAAAAATAAATTCAATAAATAAATATTGAATTACTACTGAAAATCTCAATACAAAGAGATAATATATATAGCTAAGAAAAAACTTAGCTAACATCTTAGCTAGACTATAATATCAAGTATTCCATAACATTCATAGCAAAATAATAATGAGTTTGTGCATCTTCTAAACTTGCATCTTGACTTGTAACTTCAATCTTCAAAATCTGCAAGTACAAAATTTTGAGATGACGTTAAATAATGATTGGTATAATAATATACACCAACATAAGCATGTTGGCTTGTGAAAAAAAATCCTTAAAGCTGCAAAGTATATGGAATAAATAGGCGTACAGAACCTAATATTATGCAAATGAATAGTTTGCTACACATAACATGTATCTGCAGATTAGAGGTATCTACCCTAAATGCTCATGGAGAAGGCTTGTGTGACAATTATGGTGCTTCTACGTGAATATTCATTTTGTTCTTGGCTCTACATGGAAGACTACATACTAAAGACAGGATTGCAAAGTGGACTGATATCAAAGACATGGCAGGCTTTCTCTGTTTAGACCATCCAGGAACACTTGATCACCTACTATTTCATTGCAAATACTCTACTATTATCTGGTGGAAATATTCAACTTGAATGAACAGAGCAGAGTTGTAACAAAATGGACTGAGGAAATTGAGTGGGTTGTGGTAAATGCAAGAGGTCATTCAATTATTGCAAATATCTATAAAATGTGCTTAGCTGCTGAAGTATATTACATTTTATTAGAGAAAATAATAAGGCTATTTCCAAAAGAAGGCAAGAATTGACCGACAGTTTATCAAATTCATTTTCACAAGAACTCTTTTGCTGAGGTAATATGCAGATTTTCACAAGAACTCTTTTTCTGAGGTAATATGCATAAGAAATTATCTAGGAAAATGCGACACCTTGAGAGACATCCAAGTGAAGATTCAAATTTCTATATACTAGTTCTTTATATTTTAACCTCTAGTCATGTATGAACTATTATGCAAATAAGTCTACCTGCAATGTTTGGGGTAGTTTGCCCAATCTTGCAACAACCTTGTGCTTAATGTGGTTTTCCTGATGGGTAAGTACAATTATTTGCTTACCAAAAAAATATATGTAAATTTTACACTTGAATAATAAAATTGTTCACCTCAAAAGGAGTCTAAATTTCATCAAGTGTTATCCATAAACATCAACAAATCTGCAAGAACATAAGAAAAATTAATTAGAAAAGTTAATGTTCCAATAATCGGGCAGGACTAGATTCTAATGTTAACGAAATTCATTAGTAGGAAAATAATGATGGCTCAAGTTTCTTATCGTGACACAAAGACAAATGTAGTGTATGGCCGCTAAATAATCTACTTTTGTATCAAGTCCCCTCCTATTCGAGAAGAGGGGCATTGTTGAAGTAACTTATAATCAAATTGCATCTATAAACATCCTGTCAAAACAAGGTCATAATATAATGTTCAACATATAGATTGTGCTTCCACGACTTATATAATGAAATAAACACCATACAAATAAAGGAGAATCAACAACTAAAATAATTCAACTACACAAGAAAGCAGAAGAACAAGAGTAACCAAATCGGAAAAAAAAACAGCTTTGGAAAATTCATAAAATCATCTCAGCAAAGAATGTATATAGGTCAAGAGTTTTGTATTGTTTAATGGAACCAATGGAGCTACATGTAACCTTTATAATGCTTCTTTTAGAGTGTTAGTCAGGCATATGTACCAGTCTACTTAGATGGATGAGAACTCTGAGGAAAACACTGCATTGGAATGAAGAAGTTAACTGGACAGTGATTCATTCAAAGTAAAAATGGTAAAACAGAAGTATTTGGTATATATAGAAACAACTATGTATTATATATTGCAATAAGGAATTATAAAGTGGTCAGGCAAGAGAAGCAAACAAGAAGCACTATAATAAAACATATAATTTGAGATATCCTTTTACGAGTAGCAAAACAGGCACATATAGCATGCTTAAAAGTTAATAACATCAAACCTAAAGCTGTCAAGATATTTTGTAATGGATAATCCTAGCTATGTATCCTGAATATACTTCTAGGATTAATGATCTCGATCTATTGTGATTAGTCATTCCAACAAAATGTACGAGGGGTATTGTTATGAAGTAGTTACTTTAATGTACTACAGTGTGCTTGTAAAATAAGTATAAATATTATATGATAGGCAGAATATATAGGTCTTTCTTTGTAATGAGAGAATTTTTTGTTTCATGTAACATACTTACATTGATATGACGTCCAATGACAGAATAATTGCCGAACAGGTAAAGAATACATGTCTAATTGCTTTGATCTTTTTGAGTGTTCTTCTTACATATAAGAGTGTACTTGTTGCAAACAATAGGATTTCAGTTGTAGGTGACAGAAAACTGGAGGACATGAACTGAAGATCTTATATATTCAGGTGAGGCATGAGCCTTTGTAGGACTATCAAATAGAAGAATCACAGAATGACTAAAAGTACCTTGTTGTGTTGGTTGACAACACTAAAAATTAACAAAAAAAATTGGAAGTTGGCATAGAACGACTGAGAAGAAAATAAAAAAATTATGTCATAGGAATTTGCCCGACGAATTAATAAATTGTTGTTGTTGTTTAGGTGAGTCGTCAATAGAATTTGTTTGTTGCAGAGAATACAACACTTTGTACCTTTTGGTTAATTGATAATTCATTTTCCCTTTTGAAATTTTGGCTTTAAAATAAGGCCCTTTCGACTCCGGAATTATTCGAAGACTATTCAGCCTCTACACCTATTCAATTGATTCAATAATAAATTGCCAAACACGTAATACAACTTCAAATTAAGTCATATAACATGTAAAGAATAGGGTTCAACTCCATATAAACATGTTGAGAAAAAGACAATGGAACTGAGCACCTAAGTGATGAGTCTAAGAGTTTTGATGAAAAAAATAGATGTTTACATAAAACAACTAGTACTCTGTCAACACTACAAGTAAAGCACTGATTTTTTAAATATATCCAGGCATCTACTAGCTTGGACTTATCTCTATAGCAAAACTACACTTTCACTAGCAAAATATTAAATTTGTAATTTTTGGCTTCAAAGTCCCACAATCTATTTGTACCATGGATTTCAACATAAAATAAGAAATCATATATACGAAAACTAAAACTGGTCCTTAACATTCTGTTTAAATGCCTTCAACCAATTTAAAAACGCCATTAATTTAGGGCAGAGCTAATGGAAAAAAAGTAACTAGAATAAAACAAGAAAAAAATGCCACCAATACAACTTATGGAAGAAAAGAGTAACCAGACTGGAAAAGAGGCGTACCTGAAATTCTATCTCGAGCAGAGCTAGGACGACACAAGGAAGAAGATACCTGCCTCGAGTTTAGGGCAGAGCTGCGATGGAAAACTACCTTCACCGAGATTAGGACAGGGTTGCGACGGAAAAGCAAGAGCGATATGGAGATAGATGTGAGATTAGGGCAGCGTTTTGCAATTTTAGAAAATAGAGAGCTTTTTAATATTTATTTCAATATACAGTAATTTGTTTTGGCGCCTAAGATTTTGTTAAAAGAAAAGTTTTATGTTTTAAAAATAATTTATTATTAAATTTGAGCCACTTTCTCCCAATCCTTCCTTGCAGGGCCTTCAATTATATAATTTGGGACCAGTTACATGGTTCTTTAGGGACCATATTTAGTACCTTCACAATAAAGTATATGAATAAGGACCAAAATATAATCTCGTCCTAATACATATACTTTTAGAGACGAGATTATTAGCTTGTCCCTAAATGTTGGTCATAAATAAAGCTTTTTCTTGTAGTGTAAGTTTTCTGAACTCTCCCCAATATCGGTGCTCAATACTACTCCCAATAGTATATATACTCATGCTCAAATGAATAAAACATAAATCTTCCTCTAGTTTGAGCTAGTTGATCAAATTACCCTCTTAAAAGAGGTAACTTCTCTTGAAATATCTTTTGAACTCATAACTAGTTTAGAAACCTCAATTTCTGTTTTATCAATGTAAAATTGATAACTCTTGGATTACATAGTCCCCTTACACTCTTACTCAATTCATATTTGAAAACTCTTTCGAAAAGATATCAAAATTATATTTTAATATGATCATTGATGACACGGGAAATCATACTGCATAAACATTAATGGTATATCTATATACCATACTGCTCATACATTGATGGCATTCTCGATTGTTATACCAATCATATTTTAGAAAGTCTTTTCTCAAAACTCATCTTTACTTTCTCAAAACTCAGTTTAAGAACTCAAGTGTTGACTTTAAAAAAAGCTTTCCAAAATTTATAAGTCAAAATAGGGTTCATTATGAATTATTGACATGAACATATCAACTGGAGGATCTCTATAACAATATAGAAAATTAACAATTAGGAATACAATTTTATAAAATAAACATGAACTCAAGAACTCAAAATCAACTTATCTCAAGAATACTCAAATCTAGGGAAAGAATCCTAGATTACTCTTTTACTAATCTGAAAGTAGATGTAGGGTGTGAGGACGAACTAGTCCAGCACCATGATAGCCTTACATATTTAGAAGAACAAGGTTTTTGAAGAATCCTGAAGATTCTTGAAGAAGAACTTGATCAGAAGCCATGAAACCCTAGCTTGAAGGAGAACAATCAAGAAAACCTTTCTTGAGATTCTTTAACTAGTTTCTTGAAATCTCTATGGACAAGAATTATGATTTTCATGAGTGATTCATAATTGTATGGAGGAATTCGAGTTAGAAAGAATGAAATTCTTGCAGAAGGACTTACCTTGAAGAAAAATCTTGAAAAAGATTAAAAGAATCTTGAAAAATATTGAAAGAATCTTGAATGGAGTCATCTACTTTGATTTTATCCTTAGGGTTTTTCCCTAGGGTTTGAGAGAGAAGCGAATGATGGATTAAAAGATGAAAATCTGATTGTTTTGAGCCTTATATTAGTCAAGTAATGTGTTTAGGGTTTTCTTGGATGTAAAAAGATGAATACGACCCCATTTAATGTTTTCCTATCGCCTAATTCGTCACTACACTGTATCAGTTACTAAAATGGTCATAAATTTTTACCCAAATATTGGATTGACGCAAAATATGTGGCATTGGAAAGTATATTAAAATACCTTTAATTCTATATTTTATGGGCCACGTAACTCTTTATATTATAAGAGATATATTTGTTTGAAGTTGACCCAAGTAGAATCTTACATCAAAACTTAATTGATAAGGAAACTATCTACTCTACTTTGTGTTAGGAGTTTCTAGTGACCTTAATTGGTATCCAAAATCATTCCACACTAAAGAATTTACCTTTACACATGGGTAATTTAAGAATCAGCCGATATGACTTTACAAGTAAATATAGAATTGTTCGATTCTTTATGTAGAAATTTTCGGGTATTACATTAGGAGTCGGAGCATTGGAGGAACCTAGAACGGAAAACCTTTGTCAGAATGTAGAACGACCATGTCCATCAGGCCTCGAATGTAAAAAGTTACCATAATTGGTCTTGGACCTCTTTCCCTCCCTAGACATTTACTTAAGCCTTTCCTCTTCAATATGTTGAGAATGAATCACTAGATGATAAATTTCCATTTATTTTATGAGCATAGTGGTACGACATTCCTTAACCACCATCTCGAACTATGCCGAAATAAACTTGCTCATCTTTGCCATAGGATTGGCAACCGTAGTAAGAGCATATCTAGATAATTGTGTGAACTTCAACAAATACTCCTTCATACTCATATTTCCTTGACGAAGGTCGATGAATTGAAGTACCTTTGTCTCCCTCATCTCAAGTGGAAAGTACCTATTAAGAAAACACAACATTAAATTTCTCCCAATCAAGAGGACACACATCAACCGCCCTTGTAACACCCCAACTTTTCGAAACGTATAAATTGACTCGTATCTTCGTGGAAATACCAGGAGGGTGGATAATAAATTTAGAATGATGTGTTATGTGATATTTTAAGTGTTCAAGTGTTGTATCTCAAGTTTTGAAGTTAGGTAAGTGGCAAAATAAAAGTTGGCGAAAGTTACCGTAAATTCCTTTTGTCTGAAATTTGGGTCAAATGTCACATACATTTTCTCCCAATGTATTAATATTTATGGTCCCCGCAACCCATGGAATCGAAGGTATACGAGTCTAGTTTCCAACGCATCAACCCGTTTGTTCATACGACTTTAGAATAGAGAGATATTTCCATTTTCACAAGACTGCGCAAGCAGGCAGGTGAGGTGGGTCCCCTAGGTCGGTGGAACTTTATATATTACATATTCTTCGACTTTTCTTCATTTTTCCTTCATTTTCCATAGTGAAGAACCAGAAAACTCACAAAACCTACAAAACCCACTTCTAGGAAAACCCAAGTTACTGATTTTCATGACTTATGTCCTTGTCAAAAGTTGTTCTACGCGTTGAGCTAGTCAACATGGTATAATTTATTTTATTGATTTCCTAGTATATCGTACTTTGGTGTGTGGACAATAGTTTTTGGGAATATTTTAAAGTTTTGAGGTGTATTACAAACTTATAATCAAGGCAAGACCCTTCTTTCATCGACTCTAGCTTTGATAAGTCGCAAATAGCAATTTGCGACGGAAATACATATCTTTTATCAGATTTTTGTTGTATCTTCTATTCGTTTGTGTTGATTATGATCCTGCCTTGTTATAGTATCAAGGGTAGTTGTGTTTAAAGTTATTAGGACACGTGAATTCAGCGAAAAAGGTTTGTTAAGGCTATTCCCTACTTACGGCATGTTTTCTTAAAGCTTAGAAGCAATGTATTGGGTGTTATCCTTGATATACTTGTAGCCGTGATTGTTGATTGTTGGCTGGTCGAGTTGATAGAATCCTCCCTTGTCAGGATTCTTATTCAGTTAGTAGCGTCACTATGTTGCACACGACTTAGAGGCTATTTGTATAGGTTGCTTATAACTAAATTACTCGCTTTTAGCGATTGGATTGTTATTGTTGCCCTTGGGGCTATTGTGGTTAGCTGCAAGAATTTGATCTATGCGACATGTTTCCTTAAGGCTTAGAAGCAATGTATTTGGGTTGTTATCCTTGATATACTTGTAGCCGTGATTGTTGATTGTTGGCTGGTCGAGTTGATAGAATCCTCCCTTGTCAGGATTCTTATTCAGTTAGTAGCGTCACTATGTTGCACACGACTTAGAGGCTATTTGTATAGGTTGCTTATAACTAAATTACTCGCTTTTAGCGATTGGATTGTTATTGTTGCCCTTGGGGCTATTGTGGTTAGCTGCAAGAATTTGATCTATGCCTAGAAAGGCTATGTTCTACCTACAGGGCTATATGGATGCCTAAAAGGGCTATGAGTTGCCTACGGGGCTATATTGATGCCTAGAAGGGCTATGAGTAGCCTACAGGGCTATATTGACGCATAAGAAGGCTATGTGCTTCCTTCAGGGTCATGTTGTTGCCTAAGAGGGCTATGAGTTGTCTATAAGTTATGTTGATGCCTAAGAGAGCTATCTGCTACCTACGGGGAAATATTAATGCATAATAGGGCTATGTGACTGCCTACGGGGATAGGGGACTACCGATAGGGGTATGTAGGTTGATTAGCACCTTCCGGGCTTATGGGGGCCTGAGTAGGTGGTCTTGTGTGTTGTTTGTGCCTACCGAGCTTATGGGGGTTTGGTTAGGTTGTTGTTTTATTATTTTTGATAAGTTTAGGTTTAGGAGTAGGTCAGTACACTTATCTTATCCTTGATTTATTTATCAGATTATTCCAGTATATCAAGATACCTCATCATAGTCTATTCCCTTTCATACTCTGTACATTATTTTGTACTGACGCCCCATTGCCTTGGGGGCGCTACATTCATGCATGCCTGTCCTGACAGATGACTGAGTAGACCTCCTCAACAGCAGGATTGACTTTTATTTGGTTGGCTAGCCCCTTTTCTCCGTAGCTGCCAGAGTTGTTGTATATATATTTATGGATAGGCTGGGGCCCTATTCCGCTAATATTTACTACTCTTAGAGGCTTGATGACTAGTATGTGGGGTGTATAGCTACATTATGGCCATACTGGCCTATGTTGTT